TGTTTGTTTGTTACGTTAGTATCTCGCGCACTGTTTTCTTTCATTTCTGTTTGATCGTTTATTACGTTAGTATCTCGCACACTTTTTCCGGTCTTTTCTGTTTGTTACGTTAGTATCTCGCGCACTTTTTCCGGTCTTTTCTGTTTGTTACGTCAGTATCTCGCGCACTTTTCCCGGTCTTTTCTGTTTGTTACGTTAGTATCTCGCGCACTTTTTCCGGTCTTTTCTGTTTGTTACTTTAGTATCCTGCGTACTGTTTTCTTTCTTTTCCCTGAACAAAGGACTAAAAATTGTCTGATTCCCGATTGCGCCCGTTTCGACCCAGGGAAAACTCGACACAGGGCCTTTACGGTTTGAAGTCCAGCAAACCACGAGAAGTTATAAAACTTCACCATTTATTTTTATCCTACCTACATTCGTAAATACACTTCAATGCAATCTGTTTAAAACTCGGAATATGTAGCTAAATTTGGCTTGTTTCTAACTATTATCCCTCCACGATTTTTGCAGAAAACCCTTTAAAGTCAAATCGTTAGAAGCTCTGTCACGCAATGGTCCCCACAAAAGTTGCGTTACCAGACACTGGTGGTGTGATTTTCTGTTCAGAACATGATTTTTTCTCAGTGGAGGAATTTTTCAGCCGTCTAGTGAAAATTGACATGAGTCAAATTAAATAAAAAAGGTAAAAAATATATATAATAAAATAGAATACAAATACAATCAAGTTAAAAAGCCAAAATGACAATTCACGTAAATTGTGGATATTCTAAATCGCGCCTTACTTATCGAGAGTTAACGACAGAACTGATTAATTTTTGCTGAATTAATGTCGACCTCTAATGGTGTTCTCAACCTGTTCAAGCATAGTATTAACCTGGGAAAAGAGAATTAAATGTAATTTAAGCGAAGCTTCCGGACGGTTGCATGCTGAATAATGTAGCCTAAACTAATCCCAACGTTTCATTTGCGTCCATGTTAACCCAGGTTCTTTTCTTGTTTAATGGCACCGCAACGGTGTTTCCTTCACCCACACATTGTCACTTCAAATTTCATTCTTTAAGAGAAATTTACTTCGTCGCTAAAACGACCCAAAAGTGACCCAAAAATGACATGACGCACGCTTTTACATTACAGTTTGACCCGCGCTAAATTAAACAATGAAAACCAAATATGATAAACAACAAGCAGCAAGTAAACTAAACAACTAAAGTTTGAATTAAATATCATTAACTACAACTGAAGACACTTCAATTAGTTTTCTTCTCTGGCTTTTTCTTTACCTAACGGCAGCCGATATCTGAGTTTACTTCGGTTTAAATTACAGTTTTCTGTTTAACATCAAAACAATTCAAAAGCTCCTACGTTGATCGTTTTACATTAGTTCCATTGCACAATACACCGAAACTAACTAACCTTTCACAAAGAAAACTGCTGATAGCGAACGATGTAAGGTACTAAATTGTAGTCGTATTCGGTATTAAGACAATCTTTTTTATAATCGAAAAATATAGAATTAAATTAATCTGAATAAACACATAACAACATGTACACCTGTTGATTTTTGTCTGGGGAGCGCCCATTGAACGGGAAATGACAAATGTCGGAAAGGGCTTTTTTTTTAAGACGGAAATACAAAATATGTTCGGGGACAAACTTATATTCAACGGAAAGAAGCAGTCGTGAAAGTACTCATCTACCTAGGAAAAAACAGAAAACATTTTTCCCCCTCTACATATCTTCAATCGCCATTCCCCATTCCAAAAACATTACGGACAGACTCTTACAACAGATCTGTATGTATCAGCGTTCGGTTGTATAGATATTCACAAGAGCTCCACAAAACCTTTCATAGCACCGTGTCGCCATCTGAGTTTAAAATCTCCTCCAATGTAGCAGCATCAGGACTTTTAGGAATCGAGCCGTTCGTTGTTGTAGTTGTAACTTCGAGTTTGCTGTCCTTTGGCTCTCCGGCTTCTTCGGGATCAGGAGATGACCTAAAGAGCGACAAAACTGTAGTGTGAGACCACTGGTTCCGTTCTCATCGACTTCCACTCCCGGTAATTCAATTCCAATCCTTATTCTTTAGGAAAGTGACTCCTTGAAAAATATCCTTTAAAATTTCACTATCATTTAATTACATGAATTCCTGCAAAGGCTCTATTCTTTCCTACTTACGGTTTCGAAAATTGATCCTCGGGGACCTCTAGGATGCATTCATCGCTGCTACTCGCACTTCGTTTTGTCCGTCTGCCGTCTTCTTCCCCAGCTTTTGGCCTGTCCCAGCTTAACTTCCTCGACAGCATATTAGAAGGGGCTTGACCAGGTGACCAGGGTTTGGGTAGAGTCGCTGATCGCAAGGCTTGCTTCTCTGTCCCAGATGTGCTTCGTTGCACCTTCAGTGACATGGACCGCCCACCTGGTCTCAATGCTTCTTTGCCATTCTCGCGACTTACCCACAAATCGTCTTTTACCACAGCCGACTCGTGGCCGTCTTTCTTTTTGACCTCTTCCTCCATCTTCGCACTTTCTACTCTCTCTTTCTCGCTGTCAACATCTTCTACCTTCTTTTTAGCTTTCCCCGTCTGTTCCTGTACTCCTTCAGTTGGCGTCTCAATATTTTCCTCTGTTTTAATCTCTTTCTTATCTTCCTCTTCCGTCTTCTTCCCATCTTCAACTGAAGAACTATCTACAACTTTGTCTTTAACTTCCTCAGGTTTCTCTTTTCCCTCCACCTTTTCCACTTTTTCTACTTTCCCATCTAGTTCTTCCTGTTTTTCCGATTGTTTTGTTTCCGGTATAACCTCTTTCGTTTCTTTTGGTTGTTCGTTCTTCAATACTTCCAGTTTAACGCCTTCTTTAGCTTCCGATTGAACTTCTTTTTTTACTTCCGGTTCCTTCTCTTTATTTTCGTCTTTCTTTTCTTCCCTTGATTCTTTCTTGGAGTCCTTCTTACCAGGCCGAGGAGCCGGTTTTGGCGGAGTACCAGACGGCAGCCTGGGCCTCGAGCTCTTAAAGGACGACGGTTTGACAAGTCCCTCCTTTGCGATTTGCGGGCCTGTTTCTTTACTTCCGGGAGCAGGAGCAGGTTGCGAGCCCTTGTCTGGTTCAGTGGGTTTGCTATCGGCTGGTTTATCCGTTACTTTCTGTGAAAATATCGAGTTAAATAATCTGTTAAGTTACAAACAATAACTACGATAACAGAGAAAACGGAGGGTTCAAAATGGATTCAAAACAGTTGAAGGTCCGAGATTCAAATCCTTACGGGGCGTTATGGGGAACTGCGATGTTTTCTTCATCCCGAGCTCGAAATAGAAGTTTAAACTTTCCTTCAAAGTACTTCTTTTCTCAGCATACAGTAAAATCCTGGAAACACAAATATTTTTTTCAAAATCTCCTCAAAGTTTGATTTGTCGGTAGTAAACATCAGAGAGGAATATTTTGGCCATCATGATAACATTGTTGTTTAAATCAATAAAATAAACTCAGTTGTTCTCACCCTAACTAAGCTGGCCGCCCTCTCTTGCCTCAGTTTCATCTCAGCCAAGAGTCCTCCACCCGCAGCTCCACCTATTCCAATTCCAAATTTTGGAGGTCCACGCGGCTTAGCAGCAGGCTCCTCCGGGGCTGGCTTAGGGGCATCCTTCTCAGGTGTGGATCCCCCAACACGCGACTGTGCGGATGGCGCTGTCGCGGTCCTGTCGCGAGAAAGAGCAAATGGTTTCATGCCCAAGATGGGTGGTTTGGTGGTCACTGGTTTCTCTCCTGACTGAGTTCTTTCTCGTTTAGTCATTGAAGGAGCTCTTTCTTTTGACAATTCGTCATTTTCTTCAACAGTTTTCTTTTCTATGGTTACCTCGGGTTTCGTTTCAGTGGGTGTCTTCGGCTTAGTTACTTCTGGTTCCTTTTCCAAGGAAACCTTTTCGATGGGGGCTGCTGGTTCTTGGGTCTCTTTCGCTGCAGGTTGTTCAGGTTTCTTATCGGAAGGCACTCTTTCTTTAGACATTTCTGGCTTCTTTCCAGAAGGTATCCTCTCTTTTGAGGCTTTGGGCTCTTCTTTTGGAGAGGCCTGATTTTTCTTCTTTTCAGTTTCTGAGAAAAAAAAATACATACTTCCTGTAGCTGTGCAAAGACATAGAGACATAGAGGTTAGAAGAAAGTCATACAAATAAGATGTTGGGAGCAACAGCATAAACACGATTTGAGTTTGTGACGGGTCGCAAGAGGTTCTCTATGCGTCACCGAGAGGAAACGAATCCTCTATTAATATTTAGTATTTCATGGTCTACGTTAAAAGAAGCGACATGAATTATGTCAGCAGTAAACTGAGTAGGATTGAGGTACGTGACTGAGAAAGTCGCCTGAACAGCTAAAACAAAGAAGAACGATTGACCATACTAGTGACAATAAACTAATTATGATGCTGGTTTTTGGATAAGTTTTTTTTCAGAGGTGGGAACTGAACATATGACCTAGCTATCAGGTAAGTTCTCTAAGGGCTCAATCGTTTAACAGTAACAAGCCTGTTTTGAGATCTTTCGGAAGTTTTTACACAAAAGGCTTGATGCAACTTTGCAATGAAACAGTACTTGAAAAAATAACTCTGTTTCAATAAAGTTCAATTATCACTATTGTGTTTTACCAGTCTGTTTGCTGTGGTCTGTGTACCAGGCCGTGGATTTTCCCTCGCCCGTGCTCGGCGCCGTTAGGGCGCGATCTCTACTTGGCTTCTTCTTGAGAAACCCAGGAAGACTTATACCACTGGTCAAACGAACAAATAACAAACATAAAAAATGCTGAATTGTACTGGCCTACATGAAAAATAAACAGCAAGAAAAAAGGAAATATCATCGAGCATAGAATGTCGCAGCAAGGTGGCAAACGATACAAACGTACATATAAACAATTAGTAATTGTTGTTACAGGTAAATCACTAGAAAAAGTGCAAGAAATGAGGATTGTAAATAATACCCGATTTGACAGGCTGTTGACCAGATCTTCCA